TGGGCTTATCACCACTAAAACTACTTTTGAGGGCAAGCCGACCGATTACTGGGTCTTGACTCATTATAAAAGCTCGAACATTGTAAATGTCGCACTTAAGGATAGGTAAATACTGGAAACACCTTTTGTATCTGTCTAACAGTACGATTCTATTTTTACTATTGTATGTTTATAGATGGCGTCATTCGGAAGCATCAGTGAAGATCTTCACGAGCGATAAATCGAAAGACCAGTCATTAAATAGTAGTCTGAATCAGACTATGCAGGCCGTATTCGATACAATGCTGCAGGATTTAGATCGCCGAACAATAAAAAGCAAAATTATATTTTCGTGTGTGTGGTAAATAGGTGGACACTGAGTGTCAAATCACCGGATTGTGTGATACGGTAATTCTGAGTCGTCCGAGGGGAACATTCCCAATTGAACAAAAAAAATTACCGTGGAAAAACGAACTGTGAACATACAAATATATACTGCTCATGCGGTATGCCAAAGTCAATAATTATAAGACACCTGATTTTGACCCAACAAAACCAAAATCGTGGCTTGCATATCAAGACTGTGAGTAGAAAATATAATATTTTTTAAGTAAATTCCTTTTAATATTAACTATGTTGTACTATGATGTACTATGTTTGTACATCTGACGAACTTAGACTGAAATTACTCGAGATTAATAACTTAAGTTTGTCAGAAATCATGGAAGAGGCCAAGCGGTTCGAGTTAGTAGCGAAAGGTTTTGGAAAAACGAAAAAGAAATGGTAAATAAAGTTACAAAGTATGAGAAAAAAAAGCATTATAAAATGGATAAGTTGAAAACCAGAAGTCAGGAATGTTACAGATACGGGAACGAAAATCATTTCAAAAATGATCCTAATTGTCCGGCGAAAGACAAAAAATGTGGGCGTTGTGGTTTAATCCGGCATTTTAAAGCGTATTGCAGAACAAAGTTGCCTGCAAATACAAAAGAGCCAGGTAAAAGATATTCACAGCAAATGTTGAGGAGCAATAAAATAAATGCAGTCGAAGAAGCAAAAAGTGACGATGATGCTATATTGTTCCAAATATCAGAAAAAAAGATTTAGTGACAAATGTAGTAATATGCAAATTTGGTAGCAATGATGTTCAATGACATGTTCAAATGATATTATTACACGAGGAGGAAATTTATGTAGCAAAGGGTAGTGGTTATGTTTTGGAATCCATCGATGGACTTTTATTAACAGTTTACAAATACACACCCATGGGTGATACTCCAAATATTCAAATCCCGATTAGAAATATTGACAACGAAAATAATACCGATAACAATACGAATACCGATATCAATACTAATAATACACAAGATAATAGTTCTTTTAACGAACAAACTGATAATTACGCTCTAGCTGGCTCATCCTACATTAAGCTCCCACCCTCTTTAATTAATGAACGGGCTACAATTAACCCTCAAAACAATGATCAATATTGTTTTAAATGGGCAATTTTAGCAATACACGTGACAGGTCCAAATAAACATCGAGTAGGCGAAAATTATTACCAGCACGAGAACAAATATAATTTCACAGGCTTATCATTCCCAACACCGTGGTGTGAAGTAAAAATTTTTGAAAAAAATAACCCGGGAGTGTCTGTAAATATTTATGGGGTTAAAAAAATATCTTTAGAACGTAGTCATGTATATCCAATAAAAGTAGTAGATGATGAAAAAGCAAACCATTTCGATATAATTGTATTCAGTGACGGTGAAAAAAGTCACTATGTATATATTTCAAATTGTTCACGTCTTATTCGTTCACAAACTACCTTACACGGTCATTCGGTATATTATTGTAAACGGTGCTTCACGTCATATGATAACCAAAACAGGTCTGGTTACCCGCATAGGCGTATATCCATACGAGTATACGGATGGCTGGGATAAGTTGGAGGAGACGAGATTACCGAGAAAGCGAGATTTCTACAGCACGTTGACAGAGACCGGGGTTAAGGAGGAAGAATTTGATCACGCAAAGGGAGTATGTATACACTGCACTCGTATTTAGATCTATATTTTAAAAATTGTTATGTGTTACAGGTCTGGGACCACTTTGAATGCAAGACGTTGGGTGCATATTCAGATTTAAATTTAAAAATTGATGTGTTGTTGCTGGCGGACGTTTTCGAGAATTTCCGCGATCTTTGTATGAAAACGTACAATTTAGACCCGGCTTTTTATTATACGGCCCCAGGTTTCAGCTTCGATTCTATGTTGAAATATACATCGGTTAAATTAGAGCTTTTAACAGATTATGACATGCTACTATGTATTGAAAAAGGTATGTAAATTAGGAAAATTAGTTTTTAAATGTTACAAAAAATTATAATACAGGCGGATTGGTGCAGGCTAGCATGTGTTATGCTTAGGCCAAAAACCAATTTTTAAAACAAAAAAATGACGGTTAGATGGACTTCCGAACAAAATTTAAAATTTGTGGAGTTATACAAAGATCAAACAAATTTATGGAATTGTTTAGATCCTAGTTATAAAAACAGAGATTTACGTAAAGCCTCGCTTGAACACATTCGCAATGAATTGGGTTTAACTGACACGAATGAAGTTACTAAAAAAATCAAAAATTTACGTTCAACGTATAACCAGGAAGTATTGAAAATTGAGAAGAGTAAAAAAAGTGGAAGTGGCACTGATGAGGTATATAAACCATCCATCAAATGGTTCGATTCCATGGATTACATTATGAAAATAATAAATTAGTCTAAAAGAAAAACAAACCACAAGTAATCTGGCAAGTATTTAATTATTATACAGTATTTTATTGATTAATCACACAATCATATTATTTTGCCAAGTAACAGCTCCCTCGTCATTAAAGTAATTTTTATATTTATCTCGAACTTTTTCTGCTATTTCTTTTGATCTATTATTGATCCGTGAGCGATGGATGCTTTGTAATTCATCAATATCTGACCTCCACTGCCCCGCATTGATTTGAAAGTTCATGATGTCTTCATAATCTGTTGATCCTATTGGTGTGTAGGTTCTTGATGCAGTGATACGTAACCAGTTGTGTAAGGTACACGCACTTAAGACGATCTTTATCACCGTCTCCTCTTTAACTTGAATTGGTTTTCCCAAAACACGAAAACGAGATGCTATAATGCCAAACCCATTCTCAACAATTCGTCTAGCTCTGCTCAATCGATAGTTATATATCTTCTCTCTTATAGTTGGTGTTCTTTTGTAGGGCTTTAGTAAGTAAGGCTTTAGAGGAAAAGCATCATCTCCAACTAGAATACCATTTTCAGGCAACAATATGTTATTTTCTAGATAAGGATACAAAGAGCAGTTTTGGAACACCCCACCATCTGCATTACGACCATAAGAGCCTATATCTACATATCTAAAACAATAATTATGATCCACGACTGCCATAAGCACTATACTATTTGTTCCCTTGTAGTTGTAGTATTCACTACCACAATTTGGCGGTGCTTGTATTGTAATATGCTTACCATCGATAGCACCGCAGCAATTCGGAAAATTCCACCTCGAATAGAATCCTACTTGTATATCTTTCCATTCCTCCAAATTCGGTACCTGAAAAATAAAATAGTATTATATCACTATATTAAAATATTCATATAAATAAAATTTTAGTTATCAATGAGTTACATAATTTATTTTAATGGATTACATTTTTTTGAAAAAACAAATTATTTTATTTTATATTTAGTTTAAAAATATTTAAAATTGTGTATTTAGTATAACTATTAATTGTGACTAATGATTTGTCCACAGCATGCATCAACGTCAGAGAACGAGTTGTCTGAAGAATCTTCAGAAACTAATCACGAAGCCGTTTATGTTAGTAGCAATAGCTACAACACCATCGAAAAACAACCAATGAAGCCACCAAAAAGACCTAGATCAATAAATATGAGACCATCAGAACCGTCTGAAATTCAAGCTGCAGTAAATGAACTCAAGGAATTAAATAGCACATTAACAATGTCTGTCCCGAGTCCAAGAGCATCTGAAGATGAATGTGATATAGTTGGAAGACATGTAGCAATGCAACTCAAACAGTTACAGCCAGTTGATATAATTGATGCAACGGATGAAATACAGGCAATACTTTCTAGATACCGTAAAAAAGCCCTTAAACAATTGGAAAATAGAAACGTGTATACACCTTCTAGTTACAGTTACAGTTCTACTCCATCTCCACAGCCCTCTACAATAACAACATCTTATTATCAGCCTGTTGAACCTTCAGTGTCTGCATACGGTACAACAGAACATTCCTTGCAATCAACAGGACACAATGATATACTTACTACAGCAATGGCATTTTCTGATTTAATAAACTAGTTGTATTTTAAGATTAATTTTTAATTAATTTTTTTTATTAAAAAAAGTTGACAAATAAATATGATTAAGAATTTTAAAAATACTTACTTTGATAAAATCTTTTAGACTTTCATTTATAGCATCACACACTTCTGGTATTATTTTAATGATTGACGCTTTTGAAACTCTGAACAATATCGACAACAATCTATAAGATATTCCAGATGAAAGAAATACGAGAGTTATTTCCAACTTCACTCTTGCAGGTATAGCAGCCCTCATGTGCTTATCTTCACGTTGAATTTGTGGAGCTATTAAATTTAAAAGTATTTCCACTTGTGTTGGTGTCATTCTCATAACTGCTTTATACTCTAGGGGATCTTCATTATATAGCTCTTTAAATATTGTATGCGTTGCCCCTTTCCTTTGCATCCAATTCCTGACCCAAATCGTTCTTTTTTTCTTCTTTTTTTCTACAGTTTGAGCTAGTTCAGCGCAAAGTATTTTTGTAACCGCTTTTATTACGGTATTACCAATAATCAGTTTTGTATATTGTGACAACATTGCACGAGACATTACTGCGACACTGCTGCGACATGCACTACAGTAGCTCTCGTATTCAATCTCGCCATCTACTCGCACTTGTGTGACCGGATGAGGCGAGTTGAGCTACTGTCATGCAAGTACACTAGCACAGTAGCTGTCCACTGTCAGGTCAGCAACTCGTATTGTGTAACCTAGCCTTTACTGAACTACAGCAGCAGCTCGACGCTTGTACATAGTCTGTAGCGTACACACAAATGCCATCCGATTTCAGTATTCAGTTTTACGTATACTTCCGAGCCGGTACGTACGTTATCGCGCGCGTTCTTCGTCTTCGTTGTAATAAGTGCGTTGTGTTCGTTTGTGCATTCTTGTTCTTGTTCTTATTCCACTGTGATCGTATTTTATTTTCACTAGTGTAATAAAATGCCTGGCCGATTTGAAGTGTTTTATTTGTGATGATTTTTTATCTAACAAAGAAAGTGTAGTTATCAAAGAGCGTGGATTGAAGACACTTATAGATAGTAGCAAACGACGCAAAGATGGAAAACACATTTTTGTGGAAGGACGTTGGTTTGTGACTGTTCATTGCAACTGCCGTAAATCGTATGTCAAAGAAAGCAATATCGCTACATCATTGACCACTACCAAAAATACTCGAAGGTCAGATATTCCAGTTTTCGATTTTAAACACAAATGTTTGTTATGCGAGGGGGGTGCATCTGACGAGTTTTTAAAAAAAGAAATTAAAAAACCTGCCCAAAAACGTGATCGGGTTCATTGTGTTGAAAGTTTGAAACACTAGTTTTCAAGGACAGTCTTTTGGAAACTGCAAGGAACAGAAAAGATAAATGGGGCAGTGATGTTATTAGTAGTATCTGGGTCCCTGTGTGTTGTCCACCGCCACCGCCACCGCCACATTACCACCGCCACCGCCACCTCTCCTCTTCACCGCTCAGCCAATACCACCGCCACCTCTCCCCTTCACCGCCACATTGCCGCCGCCACCGCCACCTCCCACTTCACCGGTCAGCCATGGATCCTTCGCCTCCTTGTTATTTTCCTAAAAATTGCAACAGGGTGGTCCAAGATTCTACGAATTATTTATAAAGCATAATCGTCACTTAAATAATTTTTTTTCGCTGATTTTTATTTTCCATAGTTAAATTTGAATTATAATAATGATAAATTATGTTATTAAATCAGTATGTACATACGTCTTTACAATAAAGGTACACGAGTTATTTACAATGTATAGTTTAACAGTGGTGTTTTTTTATTGTTTTATTAATACTCTGGGATTCGAACGACGTAATTCAGAAAATGAATTTGATATACCATTTTTATTTATGCCGTAAGTTTATTGTAATTTGTATTATCATTATTATTATTTACCATATTTGTTGTTTAGTTTTAATGTACATCCATTACCACAAGTTAGACCTCCACCAACGGATTTGGACGAGGTTTTCAGGATGATCGACCAGATAATGTAAGCTTAATATAATGATTAATATCATTCTTTTCTAATATTTAAAATATTTAATGTAGTGACGAAGAAGAAGAAGAAGAAATGCAGGAGGAAATGTCCGAAACGTTTTCGCCCGATGTTACATCAGATGAAGATTTATAAATATTAAATATACATACTAATTTGTTAGATCAATAAATATCAATTTTTTTATCATTATGAAATTTTATTTTACAAATTTATATATCTGGAACTAGATTCTTATAAACTTCTAACAGCATTTTGTCATCATTTGCATAGTCTTCGTCCCAAATATATTTGTCTAATGCTTCAAGACATATACATCGTTGGTTTCTTCACCGCCCCAAAAGTCGACTTGATTTGGTTTATCTATAATAGTAAATATTTTTACAATAATACATAAAAAACAATAATAAAATGAACATACCAATTGTTCGGTTTTGATCAACACAATCTTCAGATATATGGTTAACATCGTTTCTAGTCTATAACAGCATAATATAACGTCGGTAAGGTAAGTGCTACAATATTAAACAATATTAAGACATACTAACTTCGCCAACTGTTTCATCTGGGGTTAATAAATTGTCATAATATACCCGTCTTGGTGTATTCGACAGCTAAAAAATTTATATTATTTTTAATTATTTAGATATATATACGTAATTAAACTTTAAACAATACAACGGTGACAACGTTCTCTCGATAAAGTGTTTGCAACAGGATCAACATGTACAACTAACTAAAGCAAATGTTTCAAGGATCTTACAATTAAGTGATGCCGTGGAAGAAGTTATTCAGATGAAAAATATATACACACGGCCTAGTGTATTAGGTCAGTCCTGTGATATTTCAATGTATCTTAGAAAGGAAATGCCGTAACCCAAAGACACAAAAATAAGCGAAGCTGAAGATTATTTATACCGCATCGATGTCCAAGAATTGAAAAAACAACTTAAGTTAACTAGTCGTTGTTTCGTAGCAGATTTGAAAATTAAAGCAGTCAAACAATTGGCAAGGGGATGGTTAGCTTCTTCGATCGAAATTGAGGTAATACGATTTTATTTTTACATATTATTTTATACTAAAGAAAACAAATTTTTTTTAGTCTGAAGTAACCAGACCGAGGACGAGGGCATTCGTAGCACGTGAAACCGCAAAAGCAGCCCGGAGATTAAGTTTTCGTTAAGAATGTAATATTTTATTATTATGTAATTTTTATATTGCTGTCAATAATTTATATTTAAAAACGTGAACCAATAATGTAATATTTTATTGTAATATGACATTTTATTATTATTATATAATAAAAAGAAAAAACATGATATTTTAAAAAAAGTATTTTTATTTTACAAATTATTTACAAATTATTTACAATTTCCTTACATCACCATTAAATGGACTATAAGTTATAATTTGATCGTGTAAGATGAGGCAATATGCTGCAGTCTTTGCTGGAATAGCTTTGTCTGTTTCGAACTCGATGCGTAAATCAACAGTCGATGATTTTACATTGTCGTTCTGTCGTGATAAATCCACGACTATGATTGGTACAAATTGTTGGAAAATGTTTTTTTTCAAGTAGAGGCTCGCTATATTCTCTCTCGTAGTATGATTTTTGGAATTCGGCATACGCTTTGTACAATATAGCTGTAACGTTGTTTGTGAAATCTGCACGGAAATCTTCATATGGATATACTTCAGAGTTCAGGTGTACTTTAAGGTTTTTCAGGTAGCAGTGATCGAATCGTCCAGACGGATTAAATAAATTATTTTTTCGATCTGTTTGAAATCCAATTAATGCAAATCTGGGTTTCTCGAGTAAACTGCTTGATTTAACAGTCCATGAATGAGAAGTGTTCTGAGGGAGAACCGGATATTCGCACAAGTCCCAATTTCTGAACGCACATGCTAGTGGTTTACGAGAGTCCAATACTTTTAACAGTTTAATTTTTTCTTTGTCACTCACCCTAATAACGGGCATCTTCCAAATAATTTTACTCAGTTCAATTGCTACTTTTTTAAGTTTTTCTTTGCTTTCATTTGTAGTGGCCCCCGAAACGTACAACGCATCAAAGTCTGTAGATGATCTGTTTAAAATTATTTGTTGGTTGCAGTTGAGTAGTATTTTTTTATAATCTTCACAAAATCCAAACAAGTGTTTGAGTGGGATACAACCAGCAAATTTGTTATTCAACATGAAATGTTTATTTTCACTGGCATCCATATCTACATCCCAAGCAGCATTCTGTAGATTGTTCAATTCATTGAGAGTGTGTGAGCAGAAACCTTTAAGACTCGAAGATATTCCAGGAGATTTTAATTTTTGTATTTCCACACCGTTAATTTCATATCGGATTTCGGAAAGCAAAAACGCTAAACCATTGTTGGTAAAATTTATTTCGTTCGCATATGATGCAACATCTGTCGGTTTATTCAATTTACCTTCTATATAAATATAACTCTCACAGGGCAGAGTATATGCGTCCATATTTTGAATAGATATTCTAATTTCATCGTTATTGGATAAAGCTGTTGAAGAATAAGGCAGGAAAGAGTGGTACTGCATTTGAGTTATTTTACATTCATCGTCATATCCACCGGCTACGTCCAAATACATATCATCCATGACTATAGAACTTTTAAAGACCGTAGAAACGATAGATTTTGTTTGGTTAGTTTGAACGGAGGACGTCTTGACGTATTAACCTTGGTAGTAGTACTGTAGGGACTCTTGATCACATTTCTTTTTATATAACTATTGAACTTAATAGCCATCTTTATGTTTTAATTTGTATACGAACTGTGATTGGCTCCCCTCTCAAATTGATTAAATTATTATCTTGGTCTCTTAGTACTATATTTACTTTGCTTATAGACGAAGAATTAATGCGGTAGAAAACTAAATGTTTCGGAACTTCAATGATTTTATGTCCTGGCGGTGAAGAAGGGAAAAACTCGTGTATTGTCTGGCTCGGTATACCATTACTGAATGAACCAGAAATTAGATTGCAATCGATTTTTATACATTTGACTTTCATTATGTTCACTATCCGTTCAGATTTGTGTAATGTCTTGGCAGAGTAAACTTTATTTTCAAAACCTAATATTTTCGATATATTATGTTCAATAGTGAAATCAACATCATGACTACACGTCATTGAACATTTCAATGTGCTACCGTCGGCCTTGAGTTGAAACAATGTAACATGATTCGGTAACAGTTTTTGAATCATCGATTCCAAATTTATTATTTCGTACGATCCTGTAGGTATAATCACTGTTTTACATTTCCCAAGCGAATCACGAAATCCTATTGTATTTCAATCTGGTTCCACGTTTGGTATAGAATTATTTGTCTGTAGGCTTAACAGACATAGCTGCGAGGTGTTTTGTACTTCCAACGGTGGGAAAATATCACATGACATTTCGCTTGAATTACCATTTAATGTTATTGTGTACATGATAAAAATTTCAAACACAAATGTCCGCAATTATATGTGTTGTAACGTTGATGCCTATTGTAATTATATTGTATCGTACATCCACTAAGGTACGACTGTAGTTCTAATGGAGGTGGTAAATTACCAAAACTGTCGTAGTATGTAACTTGTTTTCCGATTTTCTTA